CCACCCACACACACCAGGGGACACACTCTAGACCTTGTTTTTACCCTGAGTCTAAATGCTGACAGTGTTTGTCCTGAGGACATTTATATTTCTGATCACCACTGCATTTTCTTTAACTTGTCCGTTTCTGCATCCCCACCTCCTGCTCGCCGCCTGGTTAGTTCTCATTTTCTTAATGAGAGCACAGCTAGCAATTTTTCCGCTGCTCTGGGCTGCATGGTGGCGCAGTTGTTAGCACTGTTGCCTCACAGCAAGAAGGTTGAAGGTTCGAAACTCGGCTGGGGCCTTTCTGCGTGGAGTTGCATGTTCTCCCCATGCATGCGTGGGTTTCCTCCGGGTAGTCCGGTTTCCCCTACTGATCACAACATGCCCTACAAGTAAAAAATTGTACGTCGCTTTGGATAAAAGCATCTGCCAAATAAATAAACATAAACATAATCCACCCTGTTGTTCTGATAACGACCCAGACTCCTTAACTTCTCAGTTTAACGAGCACTGCCTCTCCATTCTGGACAACATCTGTCCTGTCAGAACCAGATCAGTTCCTGCAGTGGACGGTACTCCCTGGTTTAATGACAGCCTTCGCAGCCTGAAGCGCCAATGCAGAAAAATTGAGCGTTTGTGGAAGAAAACCCATCTCCACGTCCATCTGCTGCACCTAAAGGATCTTCTGACATCCTTTAACTCCGCAGTCAGAGACGCAAGAGTTTCCTATTTTTCCAACCTGGTGTCCCAGAGCAAAGGGAACCCCAAGGTGCTGTTTAACACCATCAGAAGTATTGTCTCTCCTGCCACTCCTACAGCCTCCATCCACTCTGTTGCAGACTGTGAGAACTTTCTTTGTGGACAAATAAGGTCAGATCTAGCATCTCTCCCTCAGCCTTATCTCTGCCTCTCCCAGCTCCAACATGATCTGTCATCCTAGATAGCTTTGCTCCTGTTTCTTTGCCTGAGTTAACCAAACTAGTTAACTCTATGAAGACCTCTGCATGCCCCCTCGACATCTTACCCTCATCTTTATTTAAAAGTGCTTTTCAGTCCATCGGTCCCAGCGTGCTCTCTATAATTAATTCGTCTCTGGTCTCTGGCCAGGTTCCTGCTTTCTTTAAGAAAGCTGTAATCCACCCGCTTCTTAAAAAAACGAGTCTTGACCCCTCTCTTCATAGCAGCTTCAGTCCCATCTCCAAGATCTTGGAAAAGGTTGCGGCTAAACAACTCATAGCTGCTCTTGATGAACATAACATCTATGATAGCTTCCAGTCAGATTTTCGTAGAGCTCATTCTACTGAAACAGCTCTTCTTAGGGTCTCTAATGACCTTCTGACTCACAGTGATGCAGGGGACTGTTCTGTTCTGGTCCTGCTGGACCTGACTGCAGCCTTTGGCACTGTTGACCATCACCTGCTACTGGAGAGGCTGAGAGACTGGGTAGGCCTATCAGGAACTGGTCTGGAGTGGTTCTCCTCTTGTCTTTCTGAGCGCTCCTTTTCTGTGGCAGTTTAGGTCCTCCACCACCTCCCTTACCCATGGTGTCCCACAAGGTTCTGTGCTGGGACCCAGGGGCGGATTTAGCAATTTGGGGGCCCAAGGCGAACACAGACATGGGCCCCTTACACTAAATTTTCGACAATCTGACCTTTAACTGGATTTGCAAAACTCTCCTCTCTTCTGACATGAGTTATTTTCACTTTTTATTAGACCTCCTCTTTTTTCCTGTTTTTCTCTCCCTTTGAGTGCCTTCAATATTTGCTCTGCTTTCTTTTTCCTGTCAGTGCTCCTGTGCTTTAGCCTTATTTTTTTTCTATTTTCCATTTTGGTCTATGTTTTCCTCCCTTGAAACATTTTCCATCATATTTCCTTTCTGCTTCCTTTTGATGTTTACAGCGAAAAACGACGTCACTTTCAGTGAAAATAAAAGCTTTTATGAAGCAAGCTGCTTCTTTCTCTTATTGGAGCAACTAGGATAACTAAATTTCATGCTTAATGTTTTGAAAACTGCTTCGGGTTTGTTACGAACACTCCCGCCTCTCTTCTTATTCTTATTTGTGGTCTTATGGCACTTGGCAAACAACAATTTGGTGCATTACCGCCACCAATTGGATTGGAGTGGAATGACTACCAATCACTTCCACTTTGTGCATCGCCGTCTTAATAACCCTCTTATGACCATAATTATCACAGGGCCGCCTGGTATTTTTTTAATCTTATGGCTGTAAAATTGTAATAAAAAGCGCAAATTGTGTGTAATTGTATGTACAGTCTATGTGTGTAACTCTTCTCCTTTTTTTCAGACCAACCTCAGCTTTTAGTGTATGGTTTGTATTTAGAATTTATTTCTATTAAAGCCTTTGAAAAATCAGCTTTAAAGTGAAAAAAGCAAAAAACGGATTTGAATTTTTTACATTTCTTACTGAACAGGAACTTCAAAATGACTGGGCAAACAATTTAAACTTTGAACTGAAATGCATCTATTCTTAAAAAAGTGGGAACGAACCTTGGTATCATTTTTAGCTGTTTTTAGGACCATTTATTTTTGTAATCTTTCGAACGTTTTTATTTGATGTGGTAGACCTTGAAGCAGTGTCTCTCCAGCTGCAGGCAGAGTCCTGCACACCTCACACTGCCATGGGGTGCTTCTCTTGCATACTGTGCACTGCTATACCAAAATCTTTTGTTTTAGCAAAAATAATTATTCATGGTAAAAAGATAAATAATGCTGGAATGAAGCTGAATCTTACAATTAGCAAATAGTTGAGGGTTGTTCAAATAAAAAAATAAAATATAAAGATGGAACAATCATTCATATCCTGGTTCACCGGAGATCTGTCCTTCTTCGTGGTCACTGTCTTCAGATATAAGCCTTCTGGGACACCTAATAGACGTGTTGATTTTCTTTGAGGCATTTCCATAATTTCATGCTGGTTTTTATGCTGATTAGCTTCCTCGTTCCATTATCCGCTTTCACCGTGGCGCTGCGCTCCGTTTCAATCAGGCTGTACAGCAGGATTTCCCCTCGTAGCGATATTTTCCATAACTCTGATTGCTTCATGCTATAGATCGTTGGAAAACTGCTTTTATGTACTTTTAGGAACCATTGAAATTATTTGAATCTGATCAGCCATTCAAACGTTATAAAACAGAGCATTTTGGATGACAAACTCTGAATCTGTGCTGTGATTCATTGCGCTCAAGACAGGGAATCCTGGTGGCTATATGCACGGAAAGCCCCATTTTAATCTTTTCAGCACTTTTGGAATTTTAATGGTATCTTGAATGGTTCACGAATTATGGTAATGAGAAGTGCACATGTCGAATCCCGTCTGCGGCCACAGGTTGGTAATAAGAATATTGCGGCATTAACAGAGGGGTGCCGGCGGTCAGGGCTAGGAGGCCCCCCAACACAAGGGGGCCCCAGGTGGCCGCCTACCTATGCCTAATGGTAAAACCGCCTCTGCTCTTCCTCCTCTATCTGCTTCCTCTTCAGCACATCCTGAGCTCCTTCAAAGGAATCTCCTACCATCTTTATGCAGATGACATCCAACTGTACATCTCCTTTAAGCCCCATGAGATGTCTAAGCTGCAGCTGTTACACACCTGCTTAGACTCTATCAAAGCCTGGATGGCTGGGAGCTTTCTACAGCTGAATGAAGATAAGACAGATCCTCATCTGTGCCACAGACAAGCTGGTTCCCAAAGTCAGACTCTCTTGGTCAGCTTGCTTCTCACACCAAACCTTCCATCAGGAATCTTGGCGTGACCTTTGACCCAGCTCTCACCCTGGATTCTCATGTCAGTTCTCTTGTTCGCTCTTCCTTCTTCCATCTCAGGAACATTACTAAGCTGAGTCCCATTCTGTCTTGCTCTGAACTTGAGACTGTTCTCCACACCTTCATCTCGTCACGCTTAGACTACTGCAACTCTCTATTCACGTGTCTGAGTAGAACCTCCCTGCACCGTCTGCAGGTGGTTCAGAATGCCTGTGCTCGGCATGTGACCAAGTCCTCCAAACACACCCACATCACCCCGCTTCTCCTCCAGCTTCACTGGCTGCCAGTCAACTTCAGGGTTCATTTCAAGATCCTGGTTCTGGTCTATAGGGCTTTACACGGACAAGCACCATCTTACATTGGTGATCTTCTTAGTGATTAAAGCCTACTGGTTGTGCAGCACCAGGCTAAAGACCAAAGGTGACAGATCATTTGCTGCTGTGGCTCCCAGACTCTGGAACTCTCTCCCCCTGAGCCTGAGATCAGTGGACTCAGTGGTCTCCTTTAGAAAGCAGCTGAAAACTCACTTGTTCAGGCTGGTTTTTGTATGACCTTCATCACCCTCTCCTTCTTCTGCTCTCCCCACCTATTCCACCTTCCTCAGGATCCACTTATTTCCCTCTTTCCCATTCACGCTTTCCTTACATTTTTAATCACAATTGTCTATTTTTTGCTCATTTTAAATATTTTTTAATCATTTTCTAAATTCTTTTTTATATTTTTACATTTTTTATTTTTGTGAAGCGCCTCGTGATTTTTATCTTGAGAGGCGCTATAGAAAAGATCTTTTCTTCTTCTGTTGTAGTTATGTTTGTAGTCCTTGCAGGCATGAAGAAATAATTCTTGCTCTGTCTGGGAGAAGAACGAGGTACTCTACTTTCCTTCCATTGTAACTTATCTAGCATCGATTAATAGGGGCTGCCTGCGGATGCGTGAGCCTTGCTTGGATTACAGAGGATTGAATCCACAAACAGGGATTTATCAGGATAGCCCCAATGGTCTGAGCTCGCTTGGAGAAATACACCCTGGTCTTTTTACTCCACTAACATCAGGGTGAGTTCTGAAGTAAATGGACTGTTCTCCCCAGCAGGTTCTGAACCAGTCAAGCTGAACCGGGTCTGTTTGACATTTGAAGGACTGCTTTGGCCTAAGTGGGCCGTTATTGTTCCTGATCCAGGTTTAGATCAGGGTGATTAGAAAACTAAAGGTATATCCAGGATGTGAAAGAAAAGATTATTTACAGAAATGATTTATTGCACAAAAAAGAAAAGCAAAACAAATGTTAGTTACTTTTCTGTACAGCTGTAAATTACATGCCAGTCTTGCTCACAGACACAAACAAGGGCACCCTCTTCAAAACAAAAACAGAACCAAACCCCAGATCAGCTGAGATCTTCTCCCTCTGATGACCCACTGGTATTAAAGCAGCATACAAGTGAAACATACAGATTCTCTCTGGTCACCCTGTTGTTTGGTTAGTCCACACACTCATCTAGGTCCTTCGTAAACTCATCGGAAGACATTTTACTTTAAAGACACTTTTGTTTGTTTGGGGAGTGAAGCAAGTGTTGGTCTGTCTACAAATGGAACAGCTATGCTGGGGTCCAGTTCCAAAGTCTGCTCAGGTTCCTTCACCCTGCACTTATCTGATGCTCCTTGACAGTCTGTCAGCTGAAGGTGAAGTGCAATGTGGAACCTCTCCCCCTCCTTAAAAAACAAACAAAAAAACATGGAACAAGGAAGTATACAGAAGTCAAATTTTCTCATCAGTCATCTCCAGGAACTGAGCGTAGACATCTCTGGAACACTCCCCCTTCTGGTTGAACAGAAACTTGTAGTAGCTGCCGTCAGCACAGATGGCTGCAAGGAGGAAGAGCAAACTATGAGTCAGCAAAAATGAAAAGACAGCTAAAACTATTTCAGCTTGTTTGGCTGATGTGATGAGTTGGGTGGCTTATTGCTAGTTCTCCTATAGACCCCTATGGATAGATGCTCACATCCACACAAGCTGAAGGGCAAGAACCCGGCTCCAGCCATTATTCAGAGCTTTATCTCTGCAATTTAAGCCAATAAAATGAAACCTAGGAATTTAGTTATTACTACTTTAGATGCTGGTGAAGGTTGTCAGTAACCTGGTCATGGTAATCCAAAAGGGTTCACATGAAGGCCACTGGATTTCTTCGGTTTCTTCTCATCGGAGGAGCTTTGTTAACTCTGACTGGAGAGTCAAGCTTATAAGTTGTAGCTGTCTGTTATTTAACGAGCAGAAACTACTCTGAGTACCCCTCCTCTCTACCCCGATAAGTCGTTAGTCTCTATTGAGAGGGGTCGTAGCTTGCCCTCAAGCTTGGGGCTGAGGTGGGGGGTTGACATATGGGTCTATAACTATACTCTGCTCTCGGCTGCCCTTTTCATGCTCCATAACTTCATACTCATCTAACCTGATTGTTGCTCAGACAAAGATCTGGCATCAGTGTAGACGGTCTTTAGGTCTCATTAAAGTATTGTTTTCTGCCCCAGTGATGAAGAGCCACATATTTGTTCCTTCTGTGTCTGATGAGGCCTTTAATGGGTGGACCTCTTTATTATGGGAAGCAGAAGCTCAGGAGGTAGAGCGGGTTGTCCAAAAACCGGAAGGCTCTAGGTCCGATCGCAGCTCCTGCCTGAGAATTCTGCTGTTGTTTCCTTGGTCAAGATGCTTACCCCACCTTGCCTGTTGGGGGTCGTCGGAGGAACCAACAGCACCTGTGTGTGTCAGTGTGCCCCAGGGCAGCTCCTCACCATCAGGGTGTGGATGGATGAACAATGTATAAAGTGCTTTGGAGTCCTCTGACTCTGAAAGGTGCTAAACAAGTCATACACACTGCTGCCTGCCAAACAGCAGGACTCTCGCTGTGTCTCAATTCAGGGTCTGCATCCTTCGAAGGACCCAGTCTACTCGGCCGACGTGGGCTGGGTCCTCCGTCGGCCGAGTAGACCGGATGTTAACGGCTGTGAATTTGGACAGGCCTAGCCTTCATGAATTCCTGCCACTCCCTCGGCGAACGTTCCGTCGCCTAGCAACCGTGGAACCGCTGAGCAGAAGGGAGAAGGAACTTAAAATGATGGAGCTGGAAGTTTAATTGAGCTTTTTAATAATTTCCTTGGTTCTGGAGGAGATAGAAGACATGTATCGCTGGCGAAGGCATTTTCTATTGCTCAGGCTGAGACGCAACAATGAACAGGTAATTTCTATTAAGTAGGCTTTACCTATCGGCTATAGCTAGTTTAATGGATAGTTTCAGCAACTTTTTACAGGTTGTAAATAGACTCCGTACTAAATTCAAAACTTATACTCAAATATAAACTACAACTTCAAATCTTTTATACTTACTCAACTAAAAAAGCTCCCCACCAAAACAGTTACTCAAGTAAGAAGAAAAAAAATGAGAAAATGGCTTAAATTGAAAAAAATAATCATTAAAAAATATGGATATCATTAAATAACAAATAACTGTTAGCAGAAAGAGCACATTACATGGAACCATCAATTACCTGTAGAGGGACATCTAGTGGACAAAAATAAGAACTTGTTACATGACTTACAAAACTTTATTACAGACAGCACTTTCAAAATATAATTGATCTTTTTAACTTCATTGCATACATTCTTCAAAAGTTAAGTTTTTAGAAATTTGAAAGAATAGCATGAAAATGTACAATATTATCACATTTACATTGAGAATAATGTTATGTTTTATAAAAACTTGAAATTACAGCTTTGAAATAAAACTATTTTTTCTGTATTTATCTTTAACCAGACTAGACCCAGATACTGCAGGATTAACCTGAGTGTCCCTGTCCTGGACCGTTTCTTCAACCAGCAAGATCCGAGACCAGACTTTCGTTTGAGCAGGGAGTCCCTTCCAGTGCTGCTGAATCTGCTGAACCAAGATCAGCGTCATGGTTGGGGTGCCAAAATTGAGACCCTGGTGTTTCTTTTCTGGTTGGCAAGCGGAGCATCTTACAGGGTGGTCTCCAGAGCGTTCGGGATACCTCGTTCGACTGTCCACCGCATCGTCCACAGAGTCACGGAGGAGGTTGTGGCCATTTGCCACCAGGTCATCCACCTTCCAAAAACCCCTGAAGACCTGGAGGTGGTGTCCCAGGGGTTTGCAGGGCTGGCACGGCATAGAGCTTTTTTTTTTAAAGCTGCAGGTGCCATTGACAACTGCCACATCAGGATCAAGCCTCCAAGCGGCCCTGATGGTCACTGCTACAGGAACAGGAAACTGTTCCCCTCTACCATTCTGCAGGCTGTGTGTGACCATCAGGGCCGCTTCATTGACACCTACGTGGGCTGGCCGGGGTCGGTGCACGACTCCAGGGTGCTCCGCCACAGCCCGCTGTACAGGCAGTCAGTCTACCCTCCTCCAGGGCACTTCATCCTCGCAGATGGTGGGTACCCATGCCTGCAAAGCCCACTCCCACTCATCACTCATCCAGCCCTGCAAACCGATAGACGATGCAGTGGACAGTCAAGACACATCTTGAAGCTCTCTCTGCAGACCACCCAGTAGGATGCTTCACTTGTCAACCAGAAAAGAGCAGCCACGGGTCTCAGCTCCAGCACTCCATCCATGACATTCATCTGTTCAGCAGATCCAGCAGCCCTGTTAGAGACTTCCTGCTTCTAAGTTGTTGAAACGGTCATGGAACAGGACACTCAGGTTAATCATGCACCAAATATGCATTTTATTTTTCTTTGTCAGATATTTCTCTTATTTTGTATGTTTCCCTTCATCATGTTGTGTATATATGTTCAACCATGTTCAAAGTAAATTGTTGTAAATAAAAGTATTAAGTTTGATCCATTTTCTCCATTATTTTCTCAATTATATTTTTTTGTTTAATATTTTAAAACATTACAGGTTACAGAAAAGAATATTGAAGTTAATTTTAATACTGTTTCAAGACATTCTCAATATTTTTAATATGTCACTGCAGCTTCCTGTTGTCAACATTTACATGAGTGATACTGGTACTTTTAACTTAAATAGTTGACCACCAGTCCACTGTGGTGCTTTTAGAGGCAATTCAAATGCACCCACAATAGGCAAAGTTTTATGTTTGTTATTTATTTATTTATTAAAATGATCAAAATCACACACTTAAATAATGTTTTTGGGACTGTTGGAGAGCTAATTCAGAGAAAATACTTTCGACAAGCTGAGCCTGAGCAAAGATGTGATAATAGTTTTTAATACTTTCTAAGGGTCTTAATTTGACCAAAACCGATTTATCATCTTTTAAGACTTTTCAAGACCCCGCGGATACCCTGTAATATTAAACAATTCACATTTGTAAACAAAAATAAAATTCAACAGTTTAATGCAGAACTGATTTTATATAGATATTTATATTATATATACATATTTAATCTTTATTAACCATTTTTTCAAGCAAACTAAAAAGCCCGTCAAAGCTCTCCCTTCTCTCCTGTGCCCTCTGCTGCTCTGCCTCCCTCTGCAGCCATATGTCCTCCCCGATCAGCTCCAGAAGCTGGTCATCGCTGTCCCTTCTCCTTTTTCTTCCACCTAGCTGACCGTCTTCATCCTCACTCTCCTCCTTTTCCTCCACTGCTGTACTTGGCCCTGGAGTGTCCTCACAGATAGAGGCAATTAGGACAGGCGGACTGGTTGAGGGTCTCTGTCCTAATACCTCATCCATGAGGTCAAACCAGGGCCAAGTAGCAGCAGTGGGCTTCCCACTAACCCCCTCTCCTGACCCTAGATACTTGCAATCCTAGATAAAAAAAAAAAGTCAGTTTACACAAATAACTACAAACCTGTTTAACCTTTTTAGATTTAGCATGTATACATGTTATATGTTTCCACACACATCTACATACTTTATATTTTTTCTTTAAATTATCCTTTTTTTTTTTTTGCCTGGATGGGGGTCACCTTTCCCTGGATGCCCATTTTCTCCAGAATAGTCCTAACATGTAAGAAAAGAAACAGGAAGAGAAAAGATAGAAGAGGACAACGGGTTATTCCGTTCATGTTTTCGCAGAAAAAACTAAACTCAAACGAAAGTTTTTAAAATATGAGATGTTATTGTACCTCCATGCCACAGCCGCCGAATACTTTGCTCCAGTGATCATGTGGTCCATCTCCGCCCTAAGCTTAATAAATTCTCTGGTTTTGTCTTTTGTCCCTAAAATACAATCTTCTATTAGAATCAGGGGGAAAACGTAGCGGGAGAAGTACGACACCGAGCGGCCAAACATACGAGCCGAGACCGCAATACAAGCACTTTTACTGTTACATTTCTAACTAAAATAACGTTCATGTATCACAAAAAGTCCTTAACCTAACAGTTTAAGTTTATACTGACATTTGTATGCGCAATCCTCTCCAACAGCTCCCGCTTCACTGTCCGCCATTGTTTTTAAAAGTTCTACCGTCCGGCCCGCAAGGCATCTTGGGAAATGTAAACCATTGAAGGATACACCCGACCCATCCTTCATTCAGGCGAAAAGAAGGCCGAATTCGTCGACCGCATTTGAAGGAGTCTTCGAATTGGGACAGGCCTAGTCGCGGCGCTGTAACGTAACCGGCCGACGAAGGATGCAGACCCTGAATTGAGACACAGCGTCTGAGAATCATTTTTTCTGTTACACAAGGATGAATAATATGTTCTGAATGACAATTCCAGGGCTGCCCTCTCCAGTCGCCTGACCCGGTGTTGTGTTTGTACCTGATCCGCTCTGTTCCATGCCTACACGGTCTTGTATATAGCAGCCGATTGTCTAAGCATTGCCACTTTTTATTATTATTTTATCAGGATTATATTCTTACTTCCTATATTTTCTTATCTCTTATTTTATCTAAGTTTGGCAGCCATTTCCTAATATTGTGATTCTTGTACATATGCTAATAAAACCTTCTGGTTCTGATTTAATGTTTCTGTAAAATCACCTGCTGGCTGAGTCTAACCAGACACAGCAGGTCAGAGTGGGACCTTGTTGATCAGCCACTGTCGTAGCTGTTGAAAACCTACCGATGACAGCGTTGGGCTCCGTTCCAAAGGCACACACACAAGGAGACCCTGACGGGACCTGGAACTTGGAGAAGCTCCACTTTGAACTGAAATATTTAGGAAGAAAACTGGCAGATGCCAAACTGCAGAAACAGAGTCACACAAACAGTTCTTGGATGAGTAAATTTCCTGTCACAGAAATGAGTTGGGTGTTCATGCTTGTGGGTGTGTGTGTGTGTGTGTGTGGGGGGGGGGGGGGGGGGGGGGGGGGTTCTCTTGGTGACAGACCTTGATTGCTTGTTCCTTTTAGGGTCTTCTGCAGCAAAGATGTGCACTGTGCCGTGGTCGCTGGACACACAGATGAGGGATGCATCCTGATTAAAATTAATGCTGAAAAACAGAAAAAGCAGCTCAAATTAGTGCCAGGTAGAGCTGTGGTTGTTCAGATCCACTGCTGTTAGGGTACGGGGCATGCCAGTGCTCACCAGTAGATATTGGCTGCCTGTGAGCCTCGTCTCAGCTCTTGAAGAAGCTGACCTGCAGATGTGTCAAAGATTCGGATCAGAGTCCCCTGCGGAAACAACATCTATAGGTTAGGTGTCTCAGAGTCGGGGCTAAAAAAACCTACAAGGCTTCCATACTTTTTCTGAGGCTGTGGCTATTCTGGTGCCCTGCAGGTTGAGAGCGATACAGCACAGCGCTCCCTCATGAGCTGGGATATCAACGGGAGGCTTCTCTGTGTTGGCGAGGTCTACTATCTGCACATGACCTGAATGAGTTCCTGGGAAAGCCAGCAGAGAGTTGTTGCTGTTGGGACACAGCACACACAGACCTGAAACAGGCAAAGAAAGCGGTTACCGTTTGTGTCTGAAACGTCCTGCACAGCTCACATGACCAGCACTGACCTTTGGGGTTGTAGCAGGTCTCAAACACATGAAGCTGATGGGGGTTGTGAGTGAAGGTGAACACTTTTATCATTGAGTCCAAAACAACCACAATCCTAGGAACAAATAGAAACCATCGTGTTAAAGTTATGAGCAAACTAGTCAGTGTGTTGTTCCTCAGATTAAAACCAAAGAGCTAAAGTCTCATTTAGGTAAAAGCTCCATAAAAAGAGGACCCCACCTGTGCATTAACATCTCCCAATGGCAGCTTTAGTGACACATTACCTGTCACGACGAAGCTTCACAGCCTTGACTTCAGTGGAGAACTCTATCTCAATCACTGTCTTCTTCTTCAAGTCGTCCCAGATCATCACTAGGGCAGGACAGCAGAGATGTTAACCAGCTTGGTGATACAGCAGCGCTTAGAGCCTCAGGACTGTGTTTGAGTTTGTTTATTCTTATCAGCTTAGTCAAGATAAAATGTTAAAACCCATACTTTTAATGTATTGTTGCTTGTGGATTAGTGGTAACCAAGAGATCAGCCCTAGACACTGAGCCCAGAGGACACAAACCTTTTCAGCTTTCAATAACCAACCATGTGGTCTTGGGTCCATCACTACCTAGTGCTCTGCTCGGAGTCATCACATTTTTCTCAATGCTCAAAGTCCACAGTCCCACCAAGGAAGCGTGTTAGCAGTAGACATCAGACCAATGCTGCAAAGAACTAACCAACTGATGCAGACAACATCCAGGAATGGTTCTAACAGAGTCTTGTCTCGTCTCGTCTTCCTCTGCTTATCTGGGTCCGGGTCGCGGGGGCAGCATCCCAACTAGGGAGCTCCAGACCGTCCTCTCCCCGGCCACCTCCACCAACTCATCCGGCAGGACCCCCAAGGCGTTCCCGGACCAGATTGGAGATGTAACCTCTCCAACGTGTCCTGGGTCGACCTGGGGGCCTCCTGAAGGCAGGAGTTTGCTCTGGAACTTAGTGACATTTTAACATCTACATGTTCCAAGCTACAGTGCTTGAAGGTGTCAACTATTGTCTGAGTCCCAGAATACTTCCAAGAAATGCCTGGTTTTGGTTCACAAATTAAGGATATATTTAGCACCACTCTTACTTATAGTCTTCCTCAGCATCCCTCGTCTTTGAGATGGCCTGATGATCTTGCTCTTCTGTTTAGTTTCGCCATCACAGAGGTCAGAACGTTCCTTGCTGGACTCAGCTTGTTTAGCTTGTGTTTAGGGTTTTTGTTTTCCAGGTAGACAAGTCTCTGAGTCTTGTTGGGTTTACAAAAGCACCACAATATTTTGCTGGAACATCCTTCTGGCCATCTACAAAACCCTAGCACCAGCAGAGCCAGAACGATGAACATAATTCCACGTTCCCTCCTTACTTCAGGCAGATCACTGAACAGCCTCAAAAGCATTGATTGAGGATGGCTGAGGAACAGTTGGTATGGAAGTCGGGCAAGTCCAATGTGCGACTCACAGGCCATTGTGGCCTCCCAAGTGAATTTGTGTGACCTGCAGTTGCATTTTTGTAAACGGTTGTCTCTCCAGCAAAATTTGCATGCCGACTGACAATTTTATGAATGAAGTATAATCTTGACCAGTACAAATAAGTTCAGAACAAAGAAATATTTGAATGTTGCATTTTTTTGTATATTTATGTGGCCTACAAGAAGCTGTACCTTGGTGATTTAGGCTCTCGTTTAGAATATTTTAGATACCCCTGAAGTAAGTAAACTTTTGTTTGTATAGTGCCCTTCACAGAATTAGAAACAGAATAAAACATCAAGTAGTATAGCTCAAACCCAGTTAATCCAGCCTGTCTTCAGCTGTTTTTAACACAAAGCATGAGAAGCAAGAATGTAAAAAATGAGAAAAGCATTCAACGACTTGGTGATTAGTGCTCCTCCTGTGTGATGAACCTCTACCAAGCTTTCACCAGAAGATATCGGACTCTTTAAAAGTCTAAATGTCAGAAGTAGGCAGTAGCATTGTGGCACTGGGCTCTAAATGTGACTGGAGTTATACAACAGACTGTAAACTGAACAGGTGTAAAGGACTACTACCACTCAAACCTAACTGCAGGAGCACCAATAGGATGGACCAAGGCTCGGCTACATATAGGGAAGGACTTGGACACTTGAACAGTTTGTTTGAGCAAAGGTGTTTTTATTTTGTCTGTTTTTGTGAGATTTAGCAATAATATGTACTGAATGAACTAGCTGTTTTGTGTATAATAGGATTGTGGTGTCCCAGCTGACTTTGAGCAGATGTTTAGGTGGTTCCCAGAATATCTAAAAATAGGATGGGAGGCAGATCTTTTAGTTATCAGGCTCCTCTCTTGTGGAACCAACTCCCGGCTTTAGTCCGTGAGGCAGACACCTTGTCTACTTTTAAGACTAGGCTTAAAACATTTTTATTTGATAGGGCCTATGGTTAAAATCTGATGTTAGCCTAGATCTGGACAAGTGGGGGAGTAGAGGGAGGTGGAGTGTACAGTCGGTAAAGACGGCCCTCCCTTGCCCTGCCTCCAACATGCCTACATCTAAAAGGCAAGGTTATCAGAGTTATCTCTGTAGTTATGCTGCTATAGGCTTAGACTGCTGGAGGATACACTGACCCCTTTCTACACTCGACTACTTTCTTCTACAATCCGCTCTTTAACTGTATTATTTCCTGCAATTTCAGCTGTTAACTTTATTTTTTCTCTAAGTGTTTTTCTCCCCAGAAGAAGCTATAATGGTGTTCTGCTGAGCTGTGCTAGCCAATTACCCAGGCTAGAAATCTTGGTGTCATAATTGATTCAGACTTAAGCTTCACTGATTAGCGTTATATCATTTATCCATTCTCTTCTGTTTAACTGGAGTTGGGTTGCTGGGGGAACAGCCAAACGCCAGGTTCACATTAGTTGCGAAGCGATGCGAAGTGGACCGCTCACAAAATTTGTGCGCTGCCCATTGCTCCTCTGTTCACATAGGCGAGAATTTTCGATGAACGCCTCTGCTCACGCCTACTTGTTTTTCAACCCCCCACCCCACCCCCATGCCCTTGCTCTTTGTGTGTGTAACCAGTTCTCCCTGATGGTGATATCGGAAACTGTGCCGATCCTGCTGCTGTTTTGTAGACCAGTTCCTTTTTAAATGGTAAATAACCTAGTGTTTGTGGTAGTGTACAATGCTGTTGTATATCTACCTTTGAAAAAAATGTATTTGGTTGTATTCAAATTTATTAAATCCATCTGCTCGAGAGAAAAAATACAGCACATGTCAAAATTATCGCTTCACGGCGCAAGCCTTCATCGCAATTCGCAGCTAATGTAAATCAAGACGGTAGGTTACCAAGGGTGTCGAATAGAACCGCTCTTTTGTTCCACAACGCTTTGCATTGTTGCACTTTCATGTTAAGTCAAGAAGCCCAGTCTTCCTGCTCCCCAACTACTTGGGCCAGCTTTTCCAGGGGAACTCCATTGTATTCCCTGGCAAGGTGAGAGACATAGTCCCTCCAATGTGTCCTGGGTCTCCCTTTAGGTCTCCTCCCAGTTGGAGGTGCCCGAAAGACATCACCAGGGAGGCGTCCAGGAGGTATCTCTTCTGACTATGCTCTTTTTTCACCATGACAGACCATTACAACGCCCGCATCACTCGCACTCCAGCTTTCCCTCACTTGTGAAATAGACCCCGAGATACTTAAACTCCTCCACTTGGGGCAAGACCTCGTCCCTGAACCGGAGAAGGGATTCTACCCTTGTCTGACTCAAGACCATGGTCTTTGATTTAGTGGAGCTGATTCTCATCTTAGCTGCACACACTGAAGCCCCCATTTTTAAATAGGGAGACCACCACCAGGTCACACTCTGCACCCCACTACAGGGAGTGCAGAATTATTAGGCAAATGAGTATATTGTCCACATCATCCTCGTCATGCATGTTGTCTTACGCCAAGCTGTATAGGCTTGAAAGCCTACTACCAATTAAGCATATTAGGTGATGTGCATCTCTGTAATGAGAAGGGGTGTGGTCTAATGCCATCAACACCCTATATCAGGTGTGCATAATAATTAGGCAATTTCCTTTCCTTTGGCAAAATGGGTCAAAAGAAGGACTTGACAGCCTCAGAAAAGTCAAAAACAGTGAGATATCTTGCAGAGGGATGCAGCAGTCTTAAAATTGCAAAGCTTCTGAAGCGTGATCATCGAACAATCAAGCGTTTCATTCAAAATAGTCAACAGGGTCGCAAGAAGCGTGTGGACAAACCAAGGCGCAAAATAACTGCCCATGAACTGAGAAAACTCAAGCGTGCAGCTGCCAAGATGCCACTTGCCACCAGTTTGGCCATATTTCAGAGCTGCAACATCACTGGAGTGCCCAAAAGCACAAGGTGTGCAATACTCAGAGACATGGCCAAGGTAAGAAAGGCTGGAAGACGACCACCACTGAACAAGACACACAAGCTGAAACGTCAAGACTGGGCCAAGAAATATCTCAAGACTGGTTTTTCTAAGGTTTTATGGACTGATGAAATGAGAGTGAGTCTTGATGGGCCAGATGGATGGGCCCGTGGCTGGATTGGTAAAGGGCAGTCCGACTCAGATGCCAGCAAGGTGGAGGTGGAGTACTGGTTTGGGCTGGTATCATCAAAGATGAGCTTGTGGGGCCTTTTCGGGTTGAGGACGGAGTCGAGCTCAACTCCCAGTCCTACTGCCAGTTTCTGGAAGACACCTTCTTCAAGCAGTGGTACAGGAAGAAGTCTGCATCCTTCAAGAAAAACATGATTTTCATGCAGGACAAGTACTCCACAGCGTGGCTGGCAAGAAAGGGTATAAAAGAAGAAAAACTAATGACATGGCCTCCTTGTTCACCTGATCTGAACCCCATTGAGAACCTGTGGTCCATCATCAAATGTGAGATTTACAAGGAGGGAAAACAGTACACCTCTCTGAACAGTGTCTGGGAGGCTGTGGTTGCTGCTGCACGCAATGTTGATGGTGAACAGATCAAAACACTGACATAATCCATGGATGGCAGGCTTTTGAGTGTCCTTGCAAAGAAAGGTGGCTATATTGTTCGCCGATTTGTTTTTGTATGTCAGAAATGTATTTTTGGGAATGTGGAGATGTTATATTAGTTTCACTTATAAAAATAAATAATTGAAATGGGTATATATTTGTTTTTTGCTAAGTTGCCTAATAATTATGCACAGTAATAGTCACCTGCACACACAGATATCCCCTAAAATAGCTAAAACTACAAACAAACTAAAAACTACTTCCAAAAACATTCAGCTTTGATATTAATGAGTTTTTTGGGTTCATTGAGAACATGGTTGTTGTTCAATAATAAAATTATTCCTCAAAAGTACAACTTGCCTAATAATTCTGCACTCCCTGTACATGACACAATATGAATAATGACATGTGATGGAGTGGATATGCGGTGACGGAATGTGATGTGTAGGCGGTGTGATGTAAGTTAGATGTTTATTAGAATCTTTGTATCTGAAAGAAATTGTGAAAACTAGGTGTAAAAGAATTTGTTGTCCGCTATAAACTAGATTGTTGATTATTAATAAAACAGCATCAGACGCAATCTGTTATGCCTACAAACCCTGGCAGAGACCCCCAGCAGATCCGGACTGTGAGAAGTCGGGTGGACCTCAAGGCACCGGGATTTCGTAGATTAAACTCCGATACGACCCGTCCAGTCTTGAGATGTCTCCAGGTCACAACAGTAACTGGAATACTTGTTTGCGTCCAAAGTGGATGTGGCTCTTAGGGAGCCGTCTGGCTGTGCCAGCTTGCTGTGTGCAAACAGGTTTTGACTGTATGTCAAAAGATATATCTCAAGGATGCTTGTTCCGAATTGGCTGGTCTGGAACTCCGCTAGAAATTGAATTACTTGGGAAGTATTTCCTGTTTTATTAACCTACCTTGCCATGATTTCCAGCCGTTGTGGCAAATCAGAATGTGCCATGTCTGGAAGGCTTTACCAAAACATTCCTCAGAAAGCCACACGTTCCTTCAGATACAAAAATGTTTTTAACCTTAATATGTATCTTACTGTAATGTTGTGAGTTTAACTAGGGCTGGGAGATATATTAATATTTTTAAAATATCGGTATTAAGATATAAGATAACTTTATATCTTTATATCGATATAACTGGCCAAGCTGCTATGCTAGCAATTAGCCACTATGCTAGCGACATGTTGCTCAGTCTCTAAGTGGCTATTACATGTATTCTCACAAGTTTGCTCAATCTGAGAGCCTCTGGGTAAATGTGCTGCTCTAAACTTTGCATTTGGTGTGCTGGTTTTTAATTATTTGGGGACGTTCAATGCGAGTTCTGTTTTTCCATCCTGCTTGTGCGGAGAGACGAGCCAAACCCCTCCCTCCCCTGTGTAATGAGGAAACAGCTACGGAAAGCCAGAGTGACCAAATGACCTCAGACATATTGTAAGGGTTTGAATAGTAAACTATAATGTTACCGTTTTATTTTGAAGGCGAGCTCAACGGGTGAGAAATATTGTTTCGGTTATTCCACTCTGGTTTGCTATGCTAGTAAATACTCCGTTATGAGCTATTCTGTTGAAAAAGTTAAGAGTTTGTAAGGCGTGGGTTACGGCGACAGTAGCCCGAAAATAATACTCATAAAAGAGCAACCAGAGACTCTGAGTCATTACTGTATAATCGCTGATTTGAGCCAATACAGTTAGACTGTAGCCATGTTTGCCCTGATAACTAATAACTCGACGGTGACCCATGTGATCTTCAGTAGATGCAGTTACATCATCATACATTTAGTTTAACATGATATTTTTTTTTTCTCTGGACAAGAAATATATGACATAGCCTACCTCTAGATGAAATTTAAATAATTTTACAAAATTATAAACATATAATTAAAAAGTGCCCATGGGACATTTGATACACCTCTAGCTCTCAACTGTGTGTGTGTGTGTGTGTGTGTGTGTGTGTGTGTGTGTGTGTGTGTGTGTGTGTGTGTGTGTGTGTTAGCAGACAGCTGTACCAGTGTATCTAAAGCTCAGACTGGTAGAGAATAGGCACTAAGGTTCAAGTTTGACAAGAATCAATACATTTTTATGCATTTAATCTACTGATTTATGTATATACTTTCTCAAGACAGCTTGAAGTGAGTTAACTCGTAAATAATTTACAGGAGGAAAAATATTGAGATATATATCGTATATCGGAATTCAGCTAAAAAATAAAGATATAAGTTTTGGTCCATATCGTCCAGCCCTAAGTGTAACCAATGATTAACTTGTTAAATCAAACACATAGTGATTTGTGATATAAATGGATCGTTGTATGATCAATATTTATTTCAAATTAATTGATTTAAGCACTGGTTATTCAAACATTTGATTTAAACATCTTGTTCATTCATCACATATGATTATTTAACTTATAAGTTGTAAAGCCTTGTAGGATTCATGTGGATTCCCTTCTACTCAGAGTGAGGAATCCAGCAGTCTGACTTTTAGCAGAGAGATAAGGGCTTTTGCGGGAGACCTTGACAGTTTATTCATGTCTGTGCTAAAGAACAATGAGTGAGCAAAAGGTTTATCTGTGCATCTGGATCCTCCAGCTGGTATAACCTTGACTTTGCAGCTCTGGCGTGCATGAAAGGTTACTGTGTAAATTCTATGGTGAAAACTGACCCTTTTGATTCATTACACAGCACACGGTCCCCACTATCAATTTCCCTCTGGGATTAATAAAGTATTTTTGAATTGAATTGAATTGAATATAAACGGTGTTCGTAGTGCATTGCTTTCCCCTTCTGAGGCACCGGATGGTGGACCAGAATCTCCCCGAAGCCATATGGAAGTCTTGTTCCATGGTCTCACCAAACTCCTCCCATGCCCGTGTTTTTACCTCTGTGACCGCATTCTGCTTGGCCTGCCGGTACACATCAGCTGCCTCTGGAGTCCCA